TCTCTCTCTCTCTCTCTCTCTCTCTCTCTCTCTCTCGCTCTCTCTCTCTCTCTCCCTCTCCATCTTCTTTTCCAATACCTCTGCGAGTATCCCGATGCAGCATTTCGCAAGTTGATTCACTCCCTCCTGGGAATGACCTTTTCCGAAAAATGCTATTGTTGCGTCACATCCGGCGTGCTCCAAAATGATGTCACAACCTCCCGGATGCTGCAAAAACGATCGATATATCGATATATTATCCATATAAGGCGCCAGAGTCGCAGCTGCTGATGGGAAATAAGTGAGCAGCTGTCCCTAGATTTTAAAGAAAAATAAAATCAAGTCTTAATAAATGTAAATGACCCTAAAATAAGTGTAAATCTTTGTGTAGTCATCCGTGAAACGTTCGTCTCAGACCGCACCCTCCCTAAACCACACTACGCACATGTGGCATGCAGCGACCTCTCACTCACCTTTCAATCCTTCATCATTGGCAAAACAGGGCCGTAGGCTGAGCAAATTCCTAGGGGGCAGTGGCGGATCCAGGATTTCAAGGAGGGGGTGAAAACCAGGGGGGTCTGGGGGTCCTCCCACCGAAAAATTTTGAAAATGTAGATCTCAGGAGATGGTACTTGAGGCAGTTTTGAGTACATGTAGGGCCTACAGCCTTCATTCTGACTACGACAATTCCCTTTTAGTAGAACAATTTATTTTTTTAATTTTGCTCCAAAATCTAGGTGGGGGGAAGCTGCCCCACCCCTTGCCCCCCCGCAGGCTACGACCCTGTTCAACGTTCCCCACCATTCTTCGCTCAGTTGTGTCAAGAAAAAAATTGCCCGGCCGCACAAGGAAATAGCCAAGACTACGGACTCCTACAGGCGTAATGCTTATCATTTGAATACATACGTGAACGTAATCACTCAAAAAAATCACGAGATGAGATTGGTTACGTTGATTGTGCAGTTGCAGCAGGAATCATTACTTGCGAAGGGTTAGGGTCACTACACCTTAAACCTTACCTAAACCTAGCAGGTCGCAGCCCTGGGCCAGGACGTGGAAGTGTAACATATTTATGGTGGGGATATATATATA